CTGTGGGTGCGGGGCACAAGCTGGCCGCCTTGGCTGGTCACCGCTAGTAACTGTGAGAGCAGGCGACGGCGCGCCAGTCCCTGGCTGGGTGAATATATATATATTAAGGAAAGGTTAGACTGCTGGTCTGGGTTTTGATAGTGCACGCACACGGACGCCAGCATCTGTAGGGCGCGGGCAGAAAACCGGCCTGATAGGACACGCTCCGCCACAGCCAGCGCTCTGCAAGAGAGAAATCCCGCCGGTTTCGCAGGGGCGACCCTGGTTGCGTATGGGGCAGTGTCCTCTACGCAGGAGTGGGCTGAGGTCCCGTTTTTCCTTACAGGTAAGAGACTGAAAGTCTTGGAGGAAGTGGGGGGGGAAGGGGGATTCAAAAGCTGGGTCATTCCTGTAGTAATCGTGACGTATCTAAGACTTTCCACTATCGGCCTCGGCCGCAGGAACGATGAGTGTAGCGACAAGTTCGCTGTTCCTTTTCTGCTGGGCAATCGCATACCAGACCTGCGCAAAACCATCCATTCCTCCTCCTCTGACCTGTACGGGTTTTTTAAGTACCGTGAAAGGGGAAGGGGAAAAAAATCTAATCTCTGACTGAACTCTTACATTAATTCTTGCATCTCAAACAACGCACACAAAGGAAGATTTTGATACTACGTTTCTGATCTGTAATCCAGGTCTCCGTACAGTTAGGGTGAGGACAGTTACACGGCCTACAAAGCAGTTTGCTTGTTACCTGTAACAAACTGTATAATGAAACACCTGCTTTGTGGAAAGCTGCAGATAACACGGTATTTCTGTGCTTAGAGACCAATTAGCTGTAAAACATTAACTTTATATATGCTTGACACTTCAAAATATAAGCTTTATTCAAATCTTCATCTTTACAACACTTACTGCAAGGTGATCACAAACGTTACAACTCAAAATCTGCGCACAACGCAGCCAGCGGTACATCTGGAATCTGCTGATAAAACTCAGCTTAGACCAGTGTTCACTGCCTATAGCAAGGTATTTATTTCAAAAAAATCAGTAAAATGTTTTCCATCGACACATAATAAATACAGTATTATAAAAAAAAATTCACAACTATTCAGAACTTCCAGAACAAGATGCTTTAACATCCATAAACAGTAAACACGCCAAAGAACGGTATTGTTAAATTCTGAACTGATCCAAAAAAGAAGAGTTCAGAAAGTTGAACAGATTTTTTTTTTAATAGATTTTTTCAGCGTTAGCACAACGTGCTTTGTAAATCACAGTTTTAATAAACTATCTTAATACTTATCACACTTGCATTATACATTATCTGTGGCACTAGTTAACAGATAACCACATGACAAAGTCCAGAGATACTATAGTAGCTGACCAGGGTTCAGCTCAGTGTCTTGCTGCTGCTTCCAGAAGAACAATTTCCTCCAGTCCAACACAGTTGGGGTGGCTGGTTACGGAGTGGACGTAGCAGTTCAAGAACCCCACCTCCTTTCCCAGCACGCTCTGCACCTCGTAACTCTGCAGTGATAAAAGCACGTTGATTAAAACAAACAGTCCTGGACATTCTGTTCTAAGCAGCGTTCGGCTGGGAAGACGCAGGGTGTAAGGTTCTCTTCCAACAGACCATTTTTTTAAGGACTTAAAAAGAAAGGTGCATTAGAACTGATGGAAAGAATGAATACATTAGATTTTCAGTAATTAGATCTCACTCCTGCTTCAAGTGCTGCTTCCCTACCAGGCTTTTAAAAATGAACTGCTAAAAAAAAAAAAAAAGCTACTGTGACTTTGAACTCAATTTTGCTGAAGCATAACCTACGTGTGCTCCCTTTACCCAGCTTTCTGACACTCGCAGGATTTCACATGTGCTAGCAATGCGTATATATGTACTCTATTATTGATTACCTTAGCTAACAGATCCACTGAAGGAAAATACGTTTGTAGCTCTGGTTACTCTCCCTGCTCCCCTCTAACTTCGCATGGTATCACGCATCCTTTCCCATCACCAGCACCTACAGAGTCCCTTCTGGTTCTTGCTCTGCCTGGCAGCGTACCCACGCGAGTTGCGCCTGAGCGCATCTGTAGAGGCTGTATTCTGCGTGGAGGAGAGGGATGTGAGGCTGGGGCGACTTCCCTAGGAGGAGGCAGCACATTAACAGAAGAACTGGTAACGCCGACAGTCAACACCCGGCTTGAGAGGGTGCCTCAGATGGCAGGTTTACATCCGTTTCTCTCCTCAGTGGGATCTGCCTATGACCAGCCTCTGACCGTGTCCCTGGGCTGTGCATTTGTACAGGTATGTGATACCCAGGCCTATTGCCTGGTTCAAGGTATAAACAACCGTTTCCTTTTTCTTTTCCTAGATTATTTTTACCCCAGACCGGTTCTGCAGTCCAATTCACCGTGCAGCTGCACAAACACCTAAACTGGTGTCACAGGAGGGCTGTCAAGAGGCGAGGAACAAGTGGCCAGGGCCAGTGACGGCTAAAACTAACGTCCCTGCCAAAAGACGTGATTACAAAGCTACACCCTTAGAAACTTTTGCAGCATTCACAAAAAAAATGCCACCTCAAGTCACATTTCTTGTGATTAATCTTTGTTGAGATGTGCTGCTTTGTAAAATGCAGCGGAAAAATGGAAACGCTTATGAAAAAAAAGGAAAAAAAAAAATCCCTGCATTTTAGATAGGGAAAAAAAAACGTTTCTAAGTTGCCAGACTTCTAAATACTAGCATTATAAAATTGCAACATGAAAAAGAGGTTGTTTGAATTCTAGTAACTCAGAAAAGAACTACGTTTTGTCAGTCTGTAACCAAGCCAGACAAGGCTGTAAAACTTAGCAAGACTTACCTGCTATTAAAAGACCAAACATATTTTGGAAATGTCTTGCATCTCATTGCTTAAATGAAATACACCCTCCAGCATAAGAAAAATAACTTACAATTTCAGGGAAACGTTCCACTTTCAAAATTATCCATAAATGCCGTTAAAACCATGGAGCACATCATAGCAAAATGCTAGAAGACTGCAGAAGATAGGGAAAGCAAAATGACCCCAATACGTGGCACCTAACTGAAGATACTTAGCCGGGATGATTAAACAAGATGACGAGCTGACCTTTGCTCCCTTCCACGTGCAATGGAGGGGGGATCTCAGGATCCTCACTGGACTTCATCACCCTCTGAAGGTGCCGCTCCTTCACTGCTGACCCTCCGGCAGCCAATGCCAGCCAGGCACCTACCCAGGTGCCTCCCTCACCTGCGATAAATCTGGGTCACTGTGCCAAATGTCAGGGTTCTTCCGATATCTCAGATTAAAGGAATAACTGCTTCATGATTACATAAACTGTACTTTACCCCATGGATCCCTGTGGCTTACACACGTTTCATTCACACAATTATGAAGTATCATTTTGCATACATTTTGCAAATTTCTCTACTATTACCCCCTGCCAGGAATTTCACGGTTGTGCTATTAGCAAGTAGTTCTGGTTTATAGGGTTTAGAAGACCGTCCCAAAAAGGTGGGATGCTTGGATCTGCATCTTTGCTGTCTCTGGATCCTCAGCCAGAAAATGGAGTAAAGCTCAGCACTGCTTGTCGCAGCTCTGAATGTCTGGACGTAGTGCTATTTGCAGCTAGCTCCACAGATCCGCAGCCGAGCTAAAGCTGTCTGTGCATCCCATCTGCGGCATCCCTCTTCTGAAAAGGAGGGTGTCCGCCTGATGATAGACACGCAATAGCAGGGGATCAGCAGGTGGAAGGTGGGCTTGCCAAAGGGTCCAGCCCACTCAAATCCCAGGCTGGACATGAGAAAAAAATTCATTATAGGACAAGGGGTAATGGTTTTAAACTAAAAGAAAGTGGATTCAGACTAGATATTAAGGATGAAATTTTTCCCAATGAGGGTGGTGAAACCCTGGCACAGGCTGCCCAGAGAGGTGGTAGATGCCTCATTTCTAGAAACATTCAAGGTCAGGCTGGACGGGGCTCTGAGCAACCTGGTCTAGTTGAAGATGTCCCTGCTCACTGCAGGGGGGTTGGACTAGATGACTTTTAAAGGTCCCTTCCAACCCAAACCATTCTATGATTCCATGATTTCTAGTGAAATCTCCTACTGCTCCTAGTGCAGTTCTGAAACAAGCTGCCTGGAAAGGCAAAATCTCCATCCCTGGAGGTTTTCAAGACCCTGCCAGCCAAAGTCATGGCTGACCTGCCCATACATTTGCAATAGCCCAGTATGAGTGGTAGGTTGGACAATGACCAACAGGAGTACCTTCCATTTCCATGATTCGAGTATTTTCCCGCCTGATTCATGTCTCCTGTACTCTGCCTCTACTGTAAGTTATGCAGTTTAACTTTCTTTCATCAACAGTCATTATACCTACCCCATCCTCATTGGCAGAGGACATCAGGAGAGAAGAGATTGTCCTTTGTAACAGCTGGAATGAGAAAATGAACAGGTTTTGTTCATGATGAAAATCTTATGTATGCAAAGACATTCTGTTTGCAGGTTAAAACAGTCATGTTGGACAAAGATTTATGATTTTAATACAGAATGGTTTTGTTCGTCTGGCCAAGAAAGCAGAGGAGAGGTGACACAAAAGATTTTCAGAATCGGAGTCTAAAAATACATGTTCTTTTATGCTGTGGAGACTGATGTTTTTCAAGGCCCAACCCAACAAAGCCCTTCGCTGGGCCATAAAACAGTTTGCAAACCTCAGGGTGAACTCAGTGACTGCATTGTTTGAGTAAGAGCTTGGAACTGGGTTCTTAGTCCAATGAAACACAAGTTTAGTATAGATTAAATTATGGGATACTCTTGCATCTTTTAATTTTTCTTCTGACAGAGCTGTTTATAAAAGTGTAGCTTAGAGTACCTGTGTATCTACACACCTAGTCTCACTAGACTCAATACACTGAAGCTCATTTTATGCCATACCTTTACTTTTACTGCACTTTGAGATCGGGATGGACAACTCAAGAAGACTTCCAGCTGCATTTTCAAAACTGGTGAGATGACAACTTCCGAGCACTGGTTGCAATACAGCAATTCTCTGAAGCATGCAAATAATATTGGAAAAACATAAGAGAAATGGAAAAGCTATCAGTTGTAAATCAAACCACGCAAAAAAACTAGCTAGCTTATTCTCCAAAATACTTTGCTGGTAGACTTCTGTTAGGAAAGCCCTGGTAGAGATGCAGTTGATAATAGCAAACAGAGCTCTTCTGTTGGTAGAGCTAAGTAACTCTCTTGGAGGACCTAAACTCTTCTAGCAAAAGGATCTTCCTTTTATAAGTTTTGGCAACACGGGGGGAGGTTGCTATTTATAGTCCCCCCACTTAATCAAATATTAATCTCATAGCCTTCTAAAAGTTATGGCAAAAGAAAATTTGTAGTATAGATTCGGCCCAAGGGACTTACTGATTTAGGCCCTCGTTCAGCAAACGTTCAACATTTTCAGCACACACTTAAGTCATATGCATAAAATTAAGCTCAGCTATAACTGCTTGTTGGAATAACGTCTTAAACAAATATTGATGATACGTTGTTCTCCAAATGAAGCAAAAGTGTCCTTCGTGGTAGAGATTTTTTTATTGAGCTACACTACTGCGTGAACATATGCACATCCTTATTTTCTGTGTGATAGTATAATACAGAACAACTTTTTTTAATTTTCAGCCTTTTTCCCCCAAAGGCTACACATAACAAAACGTAAGTGGGCAAGCTTCTCATATTTAGGAAAATGTTATCTATTTCAATGGATCAAACCCACTCACCTTCTCCTTATGCTTTTTGCAAGCTTTTCCAGTAGGAAGACCCCCCCCCCCTTTTCCTTCTTTTTACACTCTGACTACTCTCTTATTCTCTCGTGTTTTTATCCCATCAGGTATCTCAGACTCTGCAAAAGCAAGCTGGCAAAGGAGCTGAAGGGGAGGCTTTCCAAGAGCATGCCAGTGTGACGCAGGTTTATCATTTCAGGTGGTAACAGGTCCTGTGGGATCAGTCTTCACATTTGGGGCAGTCATACTCCCAGAATTATTCAACACTCTTTTTAGAAAGGTGATAAATGTAATAGGTCTGAAATGCAACTCTTTCACACTTATGTAAATTACAGCAAAGATCACAGTTCAATATAAAAATGAGGTGAATTGGTGGTGTACACAGGGTAACAAGGTAGGGTAGACAAACACAAGAAGCTACTTTCAAAGGAGCTTAAAATCAAACCTGCAATTTATGTGGATGTTTATTAAAATTAATATTATAAAGCAGTGTGCTATGAAATCTTTTTAAGTAATACTTTAAGATTAGTTTGGAAAAAAATGTGGTAACTGCAAATTCAAACCATTTCATATCTACTTGTATCTTTCTTAATAAATTAACCTAACCTTGCAGGTTTTATCAGTTCATCAGCAATAAAAATACTACGTCTTAGTTCTAGGAGGGAACAAAGTGCAGCCTGTGCCTGCAGGAATCATTGCATCACCTACTGCTGTTATGGCTACATCTGCAAAACACCTGGAGTGCTCCGGAGCATGCTGACTCTCACCTGTCCTGGGGACACAATTCCAACTTTCCATTGCCACATCTGTCGCATGTAGGCCAGGAGAAAGCAGTGCTCTCATTAACTCCAACAACGGTACCTGCAGAAGACGAAATTCTTACAAAATACTAACGATAAGCTAGCAAACACACTCACTCCGGGCTTCACAGCAGGTTTGATCCTTTCTGACTCTCAGCTCAAGAATAAGACTTGTCAGAGCAAGCACCAGCCCTTCCAACAATCTCACTCCCTTTCTCCTTCGACCTTCCAACAAGGGATGACAGTATGGCAAAGCGTGTTGCATTCCAAACACACCAGAAGGTAGATAATTTATAATTAACTTTCCAAACAGGTTCAGTTCTTTTGGTTTGGGTTTTATTGTTTTTCTGATTTGTTTTTGTTTGTTTGTTTTCTTTCTGGTCCTCTGATGTTTCCTTGGCAATAAATAGCTATAAAAATCATCAGGTCAGATAGCTTGATATCGATATTTAGGAAACACAAACCAATGAGAAGACCCAATCCCTTTTGAAAACAATGATGCAGGTTAAATTCCATTAACAATGGAGTTATTCTTCATTTATACTGATTTAACAGAGATTAGATCTGGCCCACAGATTTAAATGTGTGCCTAAGAAGGGAATGCCAAAGATACTTTGGACTAATATAAAGGGCCTTGCTAGTTTTGGCAAGAAAAAATATATTCAGTTTTATGAGAAGCCAGTAAAGACTGTATTATGTTTTACGGTAACGATATGCTGAAATTACGGGCATTATTTATGGAGAAAATACTTCTAAGTATTTTGAAGCATACAAAGTGGATCACCTGTAAGAATGAAATTACACTAAAATAAAGCTGCACTGGTACAACAGAAGTATAGACCAAAAATTCTAGCTCCTATTGAGCAAGAGTCTCACAGTTTTATACTGCATTCAATAAAAAAAACCCCTTGGAGATTAGGGAGCATTTACGCTGCCTGTTCTGTAAGACAGGGCATTAAGCCCTTGCTTTCCTGGTTCTCCTGGGACGAGGACTGACAGGAAGGAGGGAGCTGCACAGAAACAACAAAACAGTAGTTTTCTTTGCAAATTCAAAGTACAGCAAGTCAGAGGATCAGGAAAGGTACTTCTCAAATACAACACTTATGACCCAATTTCTGTGCGTGTAACAAAACAACATGGATTTCACTGGCAGAATAAGCAACTCTGTGCATTTAACCCCTTGGACTGTTACAGTAATAATTTTGATTCTTCAGTTTTTGTGATAAACTGGGAGTTTCCATCAGCAGTTGCTACTACAAGGTAGGATGCTTTCTGCCACAGCATGGGCATGTTTCCCTTGTTCATGGAAAAGAAAAGCTACCAGTTAGTTTGCTGACTGTGCTTCCTTTTTAATTGAAAAATTATTTTTAAAACAAAAGAAAATCCCCTTTTCTGACAGATCTGCTTCTCTCTAAGCCTTTTAACTTTCCCCCAGTTGTGTGCCATATTGCAACTGCAGGATGCCAGGGCACAAGTAATACAAGTACATGTGAAGAACATGAATCAGGGTCATACTGACAAGATTATGTCTAGCGGAGAGTTTTGTTTTGATGACAACATGGAGTTCCCTGGAGAAAACCACCAGAGATCACTGAAGTCAGAAGAAACACAACTGAAGGCAGCAACAGATCTAATAATCTAGTGACAGTCTTGCGCATCCTGCATGCAAAGTGATTTCTCATGTTTAAGTTGCTAAACTGCTGCACATCTTTGTGAAGACTAGGTTTTGACATTCACAAACCTTTTGGGTATTTTCCTGAGATCCTTCTTTTAAATGGAAGCGTACATAGCCAAAATACAATTTTTACCTCTAGTCTATTTTTATGGGTTGTGGCTGACATCACTAAGAGGAGACTGGTAATAGCACAACACCTGGAAAAACAGGTCTCTGGCATGGAATGCAGAGAAAGGATGAGGATTAAAAGTAACACTCTGGTTGAAATGTTAAAAAAACTAATGTGTATATATATATTTTTCCAATCAGTTACCCTGATTAATGGACAGGAAGGGGAAAAGTTCAATCAAAAAGAGAAACCTAGGTAAGCTGATTAACCCCATTTTGTTCAACACTGTTAAGAGAGAAACTGAAAAAAACCCCACCCCTGAGTAAGTGCTTAAATATGAAAATAACCAATGTCAAAATTCAATCACTGGTGTTGAGTCACATACTAGGCAAATATCACTAATCAAGTAATATTCTCACATAACGTATGTGGTATGGACTAACTGGAATTTGCTCATAAGCATGGCTAAGAGGAAAAACAGTTTTGTGCAGTATGAACTGCCAACATTTAAGTCATCCTGACTGCTACTATACAGCAAAAACAGGTTAGAAATTACTTCACAATGCATAGTGATAAGAAAATAAATCTATTAACCCTGAGCTCACAGGTGAGAACCACAGACTCATCTTTAAAAGAAGAATAAACTTTCCAGTAGAAAGCAACCACAGGTTTTCACTCATCTGTTGAAGAGCAACACACTCCACCCCAGAGCTGATATGATGGGACCTCCCTGAGACAAGGATTTCTGACAAACTCAGTGGCTCTGCGTGGATTGCAACATTGTCCTTTTTGATGGGGAAGGAACCTCTGAAGTTCCTCCAGTCCTAACTCCTGCTCAAAGCTGAGCCCTGAGCAACCTGGTGTAACTCTATAGCTGGCCCAGCTTTGAGCTGGAGTGAGCACTGGAGGAACTTCAGAGGTTCCATCCATCCTAACTTACCCTATGTGTACACCTTCCAAAAAATGACTGATCTACCTAAAATCCAGCAGGCAGCACGGCCTGTGTCCCACCAGTCCTGGCACTCCTGGAGACTCTGATGCTGTGACCAATCGCTGTATCTGAGGATGGGGACTTGAATGACTACCTGCATTTTCACTGGTTAAAAAGACTTTTTTTTTTAGGGAAGGTTGAGCCTGCCGAATCCCTGAGAGCCATGACTGCAAAGGAGCAGGAAGGAGCACTACTTCAGGAAGGGGTAGAGTAAAGCCCTTGCAGCATCTTTAAGTGTTAGGTGAGAGGAGCATATATGTAGGTGACCAAAAGTACAGGAGGTGAAAGGAGGGCACAAAGAAAAAGAATGAACGAGGGAATACTGCTTCTCATTGAAAGACAGACTAACAGCCCTCTGAGTTAAGAGACACAGTGAGCGAATTTTAGGGATGATAATTTTTCCTTCATAGGCTACTCCATCAAATACTCCCACCATCTCCCACCAACGAAGTAGAGTTAATGCTACTAGTTTCAGTGAAAGATGTAGGCACTAATTAACTGAATTCCAAAACGGTGGAGATATTTATCGTAAATGCTACTAAATAATGTTAGTTACACATAAAATTGAGAGTTATCATCTATATATAGCGTTAGCATAGGTATAAAGAAAAGACTTCATATTCTATGGTGGTACAAAGATGTGGGAACATACTGACAACAGCTACCCTGGGCAAATTTCAGATTAAGCAAGACAAGGTTGTGGGATTAATTTCTCCTTTTGTCCTTCTTCCATCTGTAATGCAGAACAGAGAAAGTGTGACACCTCCCATGCGTGTCACGTAAGTACTTGTTTACACAATAGATCACAAAGGTGTATTTTCTTTGCTCTACTGGAAAAAGAAAGGACAGAGGAATGTTTGCTTTATCCTACTGCCTACACTGTCGATGGGACAAAAGACGACAGGCACTTCTCATAGTTAGTTATAAAATTAACAGCAGAGAAGTGATAATTCTTAGCGTAACTATTGGAGAGATTAAAAAAAAAAAGCCAAAAAGTATTTCACACCCAGTGACAGAAATGTCTTTCAAGTAACTCACAATATCGATGTGAGATGTGCGTAACAACCAGGGCTTACACGTGCAGTGCCTCTAGTAGTGCTTGTTTTTCATTATGCAGCGTTAGAGCTCAAGATTTGTCACCGCAAGGTGCTCATTTATTAATCACAGAGGCATGGAGAACTTGTGGCTCTACCGTAGGAGAAGGTATGTTTAGTAACAGCTTTGCACGGTTTCAAACGGTCGTTTCAGTGCATCACATTACAGCTGGAAGGATTAATTTGTAACTTTTATTTGCTATTACTTTAAAGCTCATTTCAAATGCTCCAGTGAATACTTGGAGGTGTAAATGTAAAACGGTATGAAGAAGTTTCTACAAGGGCTACTGGGACCATAAGAGTTAAATTAAGAAAGGAAATTGCCTTTATTGAGCTTTTAAGGACTCTTCCCTATAGGCACTCTACAACTAGGAGGTTTAAGAAGCTGCCTGGACAAAGCATTAGAAAATACACAGTAGGAAATGTTTCTGCCTGATTAGGAAATGTTAGAAAATACATTGTAAGAAATGTTTCTGCATGGTTAGTGGTAGGACTGAAACATCAGACAAAGCAATGATCCAAAGTGGCTGGTGAGCAAATATTGGCCAAGTTATGCTAGATGACTATGGTGAAATATTAAATTGCTGCACTGCAGCAAAGCTCCAGGGAAATCAGACACTAACCCCTACCATTCAGGATCTGGCTAACCTATCTTATCCATCTGCCTAAAAAATATTGGTATACCTTACTGTTGCCAACGTCAACAAGGCTGGCGTGAACAGAAGGCTCTTGAAAGGCAGCAGCGATGGAACGAATATAAGAAAACAGATTGTGCATCAAACATTTATTCTGGGGTATGAGTGAGTGGGAGCAGATCTTGGCCAGCAAAAGGCAAACAGAGCCCACAAAGCATAAAAACTGAAATATCCTAATGACCCACAGCAATACTGTGCTTTTCTATCCCTCCACGCTGTTTGTGCAAGAAATCAATATGAAGACCTAGAAGATTAAAGTAAGCACAAATAATTAACTGCATTCATTTCAGGAAAGGCCATACAAACCTCTTACAGCACAAATGGAGTTGGCCTGTGTTGTAGAATCCAGCTCATCGAGTCTGACAGGGCCAGTCAGCTCACTGAGGTCAGCACCGGCAGCCGAGTACAAAAGAGGCTTTTGTAATAAGAGAACAGTACGTTCAACACAAATAATCCTACCTGCCAACAAAGACATTTCAACTCAGTACAGTAACAAGGAAAAAGGTGACCATGTTAATTGTCATGGCCAATAAAGACAACGATCTCTGCCAGCTACTAAACAGATGGATAGACTCCATCAGGTTGTCTCAATGACAAAATATTTTGCTTTCAGCAATACATACATCATGCTCTTGTTACACTTCACAACTCCCGGGGAAAAAAGATGTTTTAAAAATTCAAACATGGCAGAGGAGAGTCTGATTCCACCCGGACTGCATTGCACCACGCTCCCTGCAAACACAGCGTTACCGTCTCTTCCCTGGCAATAAGCTTGGGCACTCCTTGAGGTGGTCTTACTTTGTTTCCAAGATTACAAAGAGTAGGTGCATGCAATGCTTTATTCTCCAAAGCAGAGATTTTTGCTTGAGGACACACAGCCATTTACACAGGTTGGTGCTTCCAGTCCACTTACATTTTGGAAGTGACTGAAGGCGTGAGATGTGAACTACCCATGCAGGCACCATACAGAACTGTACCTGAACCTCAAAAATGAGCGACTGAAAATGAATGTAAAACGAACTACCACCATTACATGATCTGCATGGTGGTGAAGGCTCACAGCTAAGATGGTATAGGAGAGTTTGTAAAATTTCTGTATCTAGGGACACACAAGTCTCTTCTGCTCCTTTTAGAGGTAGTTAAGGTCAGTAAAAAGTTTCTGCAAGAATATCAAAACAAATGAAACCAAGTTTTTTAATATTTGTTAGTCTTCTGTCAAGTAGCAAATTTGGTTGACACTGTTCATTAGATTCAACAGTCATCAGGGAAGACTGACAGTAATATTGGTGGACGTACAGCAAGATCACTGAATGTCTCATTTACTTTGGAGATCAAGCCAAAAATATAAAAAAGAAATCTTACAGGAGAGCTCTAATTACCATCTCTTTCAAATTTCTCATCCCAAACTTCCAACATCTCATCTTCACCTGAGAATGAAAGACTCTGTAGGTCACAGTGTCAGAGATTAGGATGCTACTTCAGTTTGATTTCCAACTCTTCAAAACCACATGTAAAGCTTACCATTTCCCCACAGCGCATCCTTGAAGAAGACAAGTTGCGAGGCAGCGCTGAGGGCTTCCATGATTTCTGTCCTCAGAACACACGATGCAGCGACTGACACAGCAACAACTTTTGGAATCGTATGAACCACATTTTGCAATGTGGAGTCAGTCACAAACAACCAAATCTCTCTTTGATTTATAGGAACACTGTGTTTTGTCTACGATTTAAAAAAAAAAAAAAGATACAAAATTGGAATGCAGTTGTTAATTTTTAGTAGAAGGAAAGACTAAAATAACATCCTCATATTTAAATAACTAATAAAACTGACAGAAATATTACATTTAGGGCTCATACAGGGTAATGAATCAAAACTTTATGGGAATTTTTCATTATTCCTTACTGCAGATACAAACAGCTCTAAATTAACTTTCTGAGGCTGATCCTCTGGAATCTTGGCTTTACCTCTATCAATTATCACACTTTATCATAACTCACTTGGGCAGTACAAGGGATATGAAAATATATTTTATTTTTAGAAATACATACTATATATACTATATATTATATACTTATATAATATGTGTGAATATATTAAAAAGTTAATTGGCTGGTTTTAAGAACAAAGACTTAAATCTTAAAAAAAACCCCAAACTATTGCTACTACTACTATTATTCCTGTGTAAGCAAATTTTCCACGTACTGTTATCTGATTCCCAAGAGCCACCAGTCCTTGGTTAATAGCTACTGTCCAGTCCTTGGCTAATAGCTACTGCAAGTTACAAAGCTGGAGATTTTTATTTCAGTTGAAGAAACACCTCTAAATATTTGAATGATGCATAGAAACAGGGAAGTAGATAACTCATAAGTAATAAACATAGAATTCCGCAATGACAATGCAAGTTTTCTGCCTAAGACAGGTATAAAAATATCATGGTATGACTAAATTAAGTTATATCACAACTACTGATGTCACAAACAAAATACCTGCATTTCATCTCAGGCTTCATATCTGAAAACTATTATCACAAAATCAGTAGAGTTTTAAAATTTTTTCACACTGGGATGATGAACAAGACAGACTACACAGACATTATATACACATCAGTGCTTATTCCAGGGTCTCTGAGAAAATCAGATGGGTTACAATTTCACGATTCATGCTTTTCTTCTTTTTTTTTAAACACAACTTTTATATATTTGTTTGTGTATGTAAATTTTCCCATGCTTTAGAAAAAATGGGTTTAGCATATTTCACATTTGCCAGTCCAAGCAACTTGCAATTTTTAAGATTCTAATATTTTTTAAATACTTAACTGAAATTAAATTACTTTCTTAATTTAATTTCTTGTTACTTTTTTTAATTAGTCTGCTGATTAAAAATTAATACTTGAAACATTTAAATGAAATTAAAATACTACAATGATTGGAAAGACTCATATCATGTAAGTATTTTAATCTCAAAGTTGCATGTGTCTAGCATAAGGTAATGTAACAAGAACCCCAATTTTTTGTCTCCGGTTGAATTCAAACCTTGAAACCATTAGCCCCGCTAAAATTAGCTTTCTGTTCATGCTAGCAGCTCTTTAGAACAAATGCAGTAATTGTACGTAATGACTGGGAAAATTCGTAACTCAGATATTATGGTTATGCCTTAATACAATATATGCTGCCTATTGCATTGACGTTGTTTCTTTGCCTAGTATCTACATACATTTGAGTAGCTCCTCTGCATAGATAGCATTAGGATAGCTTCAAAGGAAGAATTTTTACAGCTGTCCCATGAGAATTACTAGCACACTAAAAGCTGACTTTCAAAAGAATCATCCAAAAAGTAAATAATAATAACAGCAAAAATCACAAGTTAGTACAAAATCATCATCTAGCTATGTGTGACAATTTGTTCGGAACAGAGAGGACACAACAGACAAATAGCAGCAGGATTGAGTTATAAGGAAGGACAGCTCCTCAACCACAGATGGAATATATTTCCTCATATTCCTTCTGTACCACAGTACAGATTCTGAGTAATAATAAAAGCATATTTCCATTCTTCCTTCACACAAATGAAGTATCTCAGAATACTGTAGCTACACAGAATAAATACTGTTTTTTTAAAGTACATTTGAATTAGCTGACATAGCAGATTATCTAATAATAATAAATGTGCAAGATAAACCAAATCGTAGTCCCTTCCTCACTTACTATGACTTGATGATTTTGCATGTGAAGGATATGTCCTCTTGGCAAAGGCAACTGCAGTAAACAAGCTGCTGTTCGTGACCGTCTTCTGGGAGGACTAGGCAAACAATACACTAGCAGCAGGCAAATACCTTTACATTCCTATAGCAGTTATCCAGACGTTATGCAGAAGAAGAACATCTTCTATTGCTTTTCCATCATTATTTTCAAAAAATTGATGTGCACTCATGTTGTTCACTTACAAAAATTCAGTGGTTACAGTTCAGTAAGTGAATAGCCGTCAAAAAAACCCAGCTAATAAACCTCCTAGTAGCAAGAAGAAATCGTAGACCTTTTCTTTCTGCTAGACAATTTTCCATTCTTCAAAATAACATCTGTTCCTGCATGCTTCATCTTTTCTCTAATTTAGTGATGAAGTGCTTCTACACAAGCATACTGATGACCCATAGCATCTCAGATGTAGACATTCCCGAGGACAAAAATGTTTGGCTAGGATACCACTATTCTGTGATTTTATTTTATTTTTTAATAGAACAGGTTTCTTGAAAATAGACGTTTACGCACGTATGTGTCCATCTTTCTGTTAGCACCCTAAAGATCCCAGCAAGCTAGCTCTAATTTCAGGTTTGCAAATGCTCTGTTAAATTCTCACTTAGCATGGAGAAAACACAAGAGATACCCCTCATCTTAGGGGTTAAAAGTACTCTCTGCCTAAAAATCAAATCATAACTCATTGGCTTTTGAAGCAAATGGGGAAGACCTAAATTAAATTTATGTCTCACACTGGCGGTAAGCATCTCCAGCTATTTCGCTGGCTGTTCTGGAATTTCTTTGTTTCTGGTTCATATGCTTTGATTCACACTTTGTTTCTTGTGGAGCTGATGGACAATTGCAAATTATTCTCCACCAGAATTCAGTGCTGGCTGTACTGAGAATCGAGTCGCCAGGAAAGAATAAATAAATCAGCAACAAAAAATTCCTTTAACTACTGAGGGAGTTAGCAATATTTTGAAAGAAAATTGTAGCGTCATTCAGAAACAAATAAATAAAACATAATTATAAGCTTTCCAACATAGTATGGATGGCAGATGTATTTACCTACGAGTTCCTCCTTTCTACTAACTGGACCGTAAAAGCCAAACTTGCCTGAGGGGCTTCTATTGAAGTCAACAAAAATAGTCCGCACACTTGCATGCAAAGAGCCAAACTGTATTTTTATATAACCATCATCTGTTAAATTCTATCCCCAGAAAGCCAGCTGACTGGGAACTTCTCACTCTGTATCTAAGGGTAGCATTTAGCTATAAACCGAGTATCAACGAATGTCCTGCGAGCTCCTTTACCAGTGTGCAATATTACTTCTGATCTGATAGCAATTTATTCAGAAATAATTCATTTTCTAGACTCAGTGGTACTGAAACTGGAGATGTAGTTCATATTACCCATTCACAAGCATTTTAGACCTGATGACAATTCTGCTCATGCAACTCTTGAAGATAATCCAGGAAGATTTTGAGTTTTCCCCTAAACAAGATGAATGCTGGCTTCTTCACATAAACATTAAGTTGATTTTACGTTGAATTCATTGCTAAGTGAAAAGATTACCTGCAGCCTTAGATATAGCACTCGCGCCCAAAAACTACAACGTTTGTTACAACCACCGATCTGAAAATAGTACAAAAACAGGGAATGAGACAAACATGATACCAGAAATCCAGTGGTACAAAGTATTTGTTATCTGATTTGTAAAGCAGATTACCTGAAGAATTTCCTTTAGACCATGAACAGCTGGTGGCTGGTACAAATTAGAAATCTGTTCTTCCTCATCCACTTCCACATGTATTTCACCAGACTGAACAGTAAGAATGTAACAGAAGCTGGGAGGAGGGAGATCAGTTGTCATCTATTAAAAAGTAAGGAAAAGAAATGTGACTTTAAAAAAGGCACTTTAATTCGGCCAGTCGGGTTTTATAATAATAGCCAAAACGAACCACAGAATTTACATTTTAAGAGGAATGGGGAAACATAATTACATGGTTAATAACAACAACTCTCTGAAGTAGAAGTTGACTTAATAAACTGACATTCACAAGTTATAAGTGAAATCAACTTGTGTGTACCATTCTTTCCATGAACCGACATTGAGCCTCATCACAAAAACATCTCATCATTTGGCACATTTGGCAAACACTGTGACTATTTCAAGGTGCTTGTTGTTGCTTTTGCATTTTTTTATTACGTGGTAGGAGTGCCCTGATTATTCTTTTTTTTCCAGCATCCGTAACTTTTCTGAGATCTGGGGACTTTTGCATGTGGGTGGGTTTTTGTGATAATAAACAGCTGACAAACTTTTAAAGCTGCCAAATTAAATCCAGGACAGCACAAGGAGATAATGAAGAACAGGAATGCAACAGCTACAAGAACAACTTTCTTTGCTTTATGCTGGATTTTTCTTTCCCCCTTAAAGAGTACCGTGACGTAACAACTTTATCAATCGCCACTTAAAGAGGTCCCAAACTAGAAAGGCTTCTCGGGGAAAAAAAGACAATGCTAGAAAATAATTTTTATTGTGGATATGGTAAAATACTCTTCTAGTGATGTTTGTTGTTAATTAGTGTTGCATTTCATTTAGTAAAAGAAATATGAATCTATTAAAGACATCTGCGCACCCATTACAAAAAATCTGCATAAGGAGAAAAAAAAGCAAAAGACATCCACTCAAATTCTGTTTGCCTCTGACAGCACTAAAGAAGGTATTTGAATGTACGTATGGCTCAAAGGAAATTAGTTCCACAGATCTCTTCCCAACAATATTATCGGTGTGCTGGCTTATGCCTGTTTATGTACCTATGTATAAAACTGTGCATAAAACTATACTATTTGTATGAAGAAAAATATATCTCAACTGAAGAAACTCCACTCGGCCAAAAACCTGCAGCAGGTCTTGATGCAAATCTTGATCCTCTACGGAATGAATTGGTATTTCAAATCCACGACAGAAGTGTAAATTGCATGATTATGGAAAGTTTCCTCCATTTTTAGATTGCTAATAAAATGGAGAAAATGAAGAACAAATGAGAGTCATAACAACGCTAAACAACGTTTAAGAGCTTTGCTCCATCCGTGCATATTCCCATTCTGTTGTCCACAGTATTTTAATACACAAAACAATTAACTCCTCTGAGACTTATGAAATGTCTAGATGAAAGGGAGAGTCAAGGAGAGAAGAGCCGTTTCACTCAGTTTCAGTCTTGGTTTTATATATAACCAAGGTCTGAACTTTTTATTCTTCAACATAAACCCCTGCACAACGCAAACATTCTGCAGAGAAAAGGTTGTCAGACTTTAGAATTAACTAGTCATAATACACCTTTAATTTACCCTCGTTTTGAAACTTATTTCCAGCTTTTTCTTTTCTAGAAGTTGCATCCTGATTGAATTCCTTAGGCTCTGCCACAAACTTTTAATGCCACAAACTTCTTCCTCAAAGAACAGCCTATACTAGAACAGCAGGACAGCGCAAGCACTTGGCTACCCAAAAGCTTCTCAAATGATCTTGCATTACCAGAACGACACTTGATATGACAGAACTCCTTTTCAAATACAAAAGCTAATTAAAGGAAAAATAAAGATGCAATTTTAGATTTGCAAATGTATAGTAACATACTTTGAATCGATTTTAATACTTCCCCACACCCTAAAAACACAGAAACATTCATTACTTTTTAGTAGATTCTTTTTGTGTTCCTTCTTTGACTGTCTTCACATGAGACAAGTATCAGTCAAAATCATCCTAACTAGTAAGAGACCTGATTCCAGCAGTCAGTCTGCTCTCACAGAAATTAATCTTCAGAAAAGTGCTTTCGAATCTAAAGCTGGAAGGTGCTTCAGAGAACAAGTTAATATCCCTGTATATAGATCACTGTGCGGGCTCCACGCTATCTAATATTTCTTTCCTCCTGCAAGGAGAGGAGAGGAATAATTTGTCTAGACATCCTACCATTCTAGCTCTAGAGTATTAATAAGGGGCTAATTGCATCATTTTGGAAAGATACTGCTGATCCAGGTTAGCCTAAGGAGGCTGCCAGAACCAGTAAAACAAAACTCAGTAGCTAAAGAGAGGGAGAGAATCTGATTCCCAAAGTAAACATGATTACACTACCAACAAAAATACTAGCTGTGAGTGAAAAAATACTTTTCCATAATAACAAAACTTACCATTTCAGAGTCTCGACTTTGTCCAGGAACTTTTACAGGCACTACTGGAGGCCACAGACTGTCTATCAGGCTAAAAAGTCCTAATGCCCTTAAAAAGACCAATAAAATCAGGTTTAAAATGTTTTCCAGTGTTATATGTTACATTAAAAAGTTTCACTAAGATATATAATTTAAACGATTGCATGATTATGAAAAACAATTTTAAATCATACTTGTTTTCTGGAAGCTGGTTTTGATTTGGTCTAATTAAATCTCCATCATTTCTGCTGCAGGGTGGAGAGGGAGGGAAGGGATATATCACATTCAGTGACGAGCAAGTCATACTTAATCCTTTGCCATGAACAGCCTGCTACATGATATAATTCAGGGGAACCAGGGTAAATGCTAGCTTGGAAAGGACACAGATAGCAGTACTTTTAAAAAAAATAGCTTTTAACTATTTTAACCGGTAAATTAAAAAAAAAAAAAAAAAAAAGAAAAATTTTGCTTCTAACATTGTCATTTCTTGCTTTTCTCTAACAGCTGATTGTACCTGCTTTCAGGAAAGTCAGCGATTATCAGATACAGAGAAACAGGCAAGATTTTGTTCTTTCATGTACATGTGCAGAGGGTGGTCTCCTTCCTACACAGCTGCTCATTGAGTTACAATTTGTATTTATTTATTTTGCAAGTTTCTCACTTTTAGTTTAGAAACAAACATAAAATTAACAGCCCAGCACGTTAAGGTAAATGCCGCAGACTCTTTAGCTTCAGCAAGCGAAGCTGTAATTTGCAGCAGTTCAGTGGCTGCCTTGTCGGCTGATACGGCATCCTTGCTGGACGGGCAGCAACATCCGAGGGAGAGGCCAAGAAACCATCTGAGGGAGGGGAAATAGCTACAGATAACCAACTTGAAGAGGCATGCATTTCTGAGTTAAAGCTCCCAGCTATCTTGTCCTAGTTCTCTGTTCTGTGTAGCCGGAGCACAGAGATCTGGATTTTAACCCCACGCTGCCTCCAAGAACAAGTTGTCTCTTCCTCCAGTTAAGAAAGCCACTATTTCTGAAACAGCTCTAAAAAAATCAAGTCAAAAACTTGCTAAAAGTAATATTAGCTTCTAAGCTTAACCGTTTAGAAGGAAATGGCATACTCTGGTACAGGACTGAAGCACGCTGCAATACTGCTTCTCTTCAAGGGGTCACAGAGACTCTCCTTTTAAAATTATGCTTTTAGCTCAGTTCTGCTTAAGCTTACTTATTTCTGTATGTCCCTAGCCCTTCTCTGCATCCTTAAGTGCTTAGACTTTGGGTGTCTATAGGCAGAACTTCTTCCCATGTTTTTTCGTAAAGCGCCAGGTATCACCTATGTTTCGGTGTTAATAGTGATGCCTTTGGACCAGCACTGTAAGAAGTTTTATGGATGTAAATCTCAGCGTGCATCTCGTGGAATAAAGCTTATATCTCACGATTCAGGCAACAAGTTGGCAGATTAAAAAGATCATGTTGCTTCCTGTAGTTGTGTTCTCCACACTAAGGAACAGACCAGAAACACAAACGTGCTGCTCTTTTACAGAAATGAACTTCCTGACTTACATGGCATCATCACAGAGTCTGTAAAAGGCGAAGGCTGAGCTGAGAGGCTGGGGTTTTTTTGGTTTGTGTTTTGTTTTTAATGGTGAGAACGTTACAACATACAAAGCAACATTTCTTAGGTATTAAAGAGACTTTACAGCAAATGGACCACTTCTTGAATCCTTGATCAGGGCGAGATTTTCTGCCTTGTATCGTGCAGCATGATATCCTCTCTATAGTCACAGGGGGGCCACTGCCCAGAGGAACAAACTGGTCTTGCTAAGTGGGACATGAAAAATGAGAATTACCCAAAGAGAGCATAGCCTCCTGTACAACCCAGGCAGTTACACAACTGGCCTTCCTCACACGAGATGCAGCACAAGGGCAAGGGCAGAGCACGGGTACAAACGTACTGCAAACTCTCTGTGTGTACCCAGAGATTGCATCTTTATCAACTTAGAGCAAGTAAGCTATGTTGTTGGAGCGCAGATATAATTGCATCTCCTCACAGACCTTACATTGATCCCTCATCTGTATTTTTAAGTTTACACAAAAGGGACATGAAGTCGTCCCTTCTTCTTTAGCTCTCTTCTAGCTTGCTACCCCATATCAGAATAGCTAAGACATATGGTACAGTTTCTGCAATTACTTGTGTCCTTTTGGAGAAGGTCATCTACTGCTTGAACTAGAAACACTTAATTATTAGTAAATGTCAGTATTTGTTTACAAACAGGCAGAGGAGCAGCATTGTGTAGAGGATGTCTCCTGAACGTCTTGGCCCCATACTTTTATTTGACACCAGTCAGGGACATTTGCCACCCGAAGGATTTGCAAGTTCCAAATCACATCCTGCCTGGATCCTTGTCTACCAAAGGGGAAGTTCTCTCCTGGAGCTGTCACTGTATCTGTCAGTGTCCCTGATGAGGAGCTCCCCTCTTGCTCCACCCATTTATACACCTCCAAGAAAGTTAACTCTCTCTTTACACTTCGACTTAGCAGAAGGGGGAATGAGGTGGGGGCAACGACAGTGGAGACATGGCAAGACATTGTGTCCTCCTCTGCAGAAAATCGCTATCCTCACAGAAAGAATAAAATTCATTCTCTTTATTGGCCAAGCAACACTCAAATCCCACTTCAATCTGACTTGAACAATGGGTGTATTTTATCCAATATGTGTATCTTTCTTCAGCTATAGAGTCAGGACAAGAGATGAACAGCTGGCTCTGTGCTACAGTGAAGAGACATGGTTAGCTCCCACGTGCACAAAGAGCCTCTCTGGCTATGGAAGACAAAATAAAAAGTTTAAAATTTTGCTCTGTGAGTGTTATTACTAGTCACTTAAAAAAAAAAATAATTCTGATCACAAAAGGACAGACTTCTAAAAAAGGAAAAGTAGAGTAAGAAGTGAGAGGAAACAGGCTTAAGGATAAAAAAAAGAACATGTAAAGTATTTTGAAAAACATTTTTTTTAAGTCAGAGACAAGGACTGTAACATTGTAATATTCTATAACTTTTTTTTGAAAAAAAGATTGAATCCATACCAGAAGGAGGACAGAAATCATCTATCAGATTCTAAATGACAGACTCAGCCTCCTACTTTCCATGCCAGACTGAAATCCATGTTTGGTAAAAATCTTTTTGTCCCATATTAAATATGTAGATGTCCACTGTCACAGTAAGACCACCAGTAACTCCAATGGAGTTTTATAGTATAGACTCCATAGAAGTATGGACTTACGACAGGCAGTCCTCTACATACAGGTACTCTTCTGTAAAGCCACATCTTCAAGCTTCACTTATATATAATGATACACATGTGTGTGTGTGCATATACATATAATACACAAAATAATTCTTTTTAGTGTCCTTCATTATTTTTTATTATCCAATGTGCTTAAAAGGCATCCCTCCCAACTTAAAACTTTCCTCGCTGAACTTTGGTACATCTTTTCCATAAATGCAAACTGCCTGCTGAGTACCCAGACAGCAGTCAGAGAATTTTAAAGATTTAATACTGTTACACAGGCTAAATACATGGCTGAGAAAATGCAAAATATACATGCAACGTGCAGAAATTAATCCTGAGCTATTTAACAAATCATCTTAAACTAGTCTGCAGAAAAATTACTGGAAGATAGCAAGTGATACTAGTAACATTTATTTTCTCTCCCCAGAATTCTCGCCATAGATGAGATGACTGTGCTGCCCTGTACAGAAGCAGCTGCTTTCATCTGCTCACCTAACCACCTTCCTTCTCAGTTTCACAGCTCAGCAGGAGACACAAGCCACCTTCCACTTCTGATCTTCCTGGCTTCTTTTGCCCTTCACTACGAAGTCAGATGGCATACATTTGTATGTGCCCACACGCATATACATGTTTGCTCTATGATTTTTGATAAGAACATACAAATAAAGAGAAAAGCTGTTGTAGTTATATTTGGACACCCAGTAAAGTGATAAACCACTATCTACAGTATCAGCACATCTACTCTTGTCCTGTGGAAAAGTCATTCATTTCATACTACAAGCTATACTACAAAAATCAAGCACATTCAAATTTTGATTTTTCAGACTGTATTTCACTGACTCTGATCTGACAATTTATTTTATAACTTAATAAGAAAACTTTGTTTATTTCTCATAAGCATGAAGTTTCATCTACAGTTCTGGTCCAAGAACTTTGTGTATGACATGCCTGACTTAACTTTTAACATTACAGCTTATGGTTTGGCGGATTTTTCAATTTTACTAAACATACCACAGGTTCAAGGTTCTCCTTGCTCAAAACTCAGAAGAAATTCAGTAATAATCATCTAGAGTGCGTAAGTTTCAACTAGCAAAAGACAAGCAATCCAAATATAAAGCTGATACTGTAGGCTAGCTCTCCCTTTAATTGACCTATTGAGATCTTGCAGCACACAAGCTATGCAACACAGTATTTTCTCAGACTTGAGTAATGCAAGCAAAAAAAAGCATAAAGTAAAAAACTGAGCCTACTAAACCAGCATCTCCGTCAAAATACAAACAGGGAGGACAGGTTGCAGGCTTTTTCCCCCTAAGTTTTGTTTAGATATATGAAATTATTTTGTTGAATAATTTATTTACATATTTTAATAACTCAGTTTTCTATAATACATTTGAAATTACACATACTACATTAAAACACTGAAATTATAACATAAAAGTACTTTTGATTCAATATGGATATGCCTATGTTATTCTCCAGTGCTGGTTACTAAATTGATTCACGACAGAAGCACTGAAGATACGAGCAGCAGTCTGCACTTGTTAAAGAGAAGAAAACTGAGAGGAAAAAAAGTTAATTTCTGATACATAAGCAGTCATCAAAAATAATAAAAGAGTAACACGAATATTCAAAACTTCAATGTGATTACTGAAATTATGCTTTAAATGGAACTCAACTTTTAACCACAGCAACTACTGAAGTGTTTCAGGACCTCAAAACCTCAGAGATGTGGGTGGCTCTTAGATGGCAGTCTTTTTGGAGGAGGGAAAACCAAAGGAAGGAAGTTATGAC